TACTATAATTCCTTCATAAATTACAAACATACATACCATTGTTGAAAAGTGACCAGATTACTACTTATTATTATTATTACATTTTTTGTGCAATCTATTATTAAATAGTGGGCAGGAATTTGTGTACTACACAAAGTAGTCATTTCTTTCTACGTTTTTGGAAAATGTAAAAAATTATGCACGTTTTATAATTATTGTCTGTAGTCTCTTTAGGTTCTTTCAAACTGTACAACTTATTAATGATGAAAAAATACATTTGAATATCAATAACTGAATGTAGTCAGTGATTATATTATAAATGTTCATGCTTTATAAAGTTATTTTTGCTTTAATAGCTCATTATTTCGACTTAGCAAATAATATTATTCAAGATATTATTTATGTCAAATTCAAATTGTCAAATAACAATTACTGAGTCAAAAAACTTGACCAGACATGAATGTATTTCAGTAAATTGCATATATGTGTGTATCTATCATTAGATATATGTGGCCACTAAAGCAACATCTTATTTACTTACTTTATGGGAAACAGCATAGGGTTATAAGAGCTATAAGCCAACATTCAATACACTGTTCTTAGTGTTAGATTCTAAAGTGTTAAACATTAATTCAAAATAACAAGATAATGTGTTGAAATAATGACATTACAACTCAAAATAGTGGGATATTTACAAAAACTTTGAGTAATTAAGATGAAATAATGAGATAATATGTCAAAATAACATGATAATGTTCTTCTTTCGGTCGCTCCTGTTAGGGGTCGCCACAGAGGATCATTGATCCGCATATTTGATTTGGCATAGTTTTTACTCTGGACCGGCACTGGGAGCACACTGTCATGTAGAACCCCAGTGGCTGGGGTCGGTTCCCTGGCCGGGAATCGAACCCGAGCCGGAGCGAAGAGAACGCCGAGGCCTAACCACTAGTCCTCCATGGACTCAAAATAACATGATAGTAACTCAAAATAATGACATACTATCTTGAAATAATGAGTTATAAAGTCAAAATAAGTGACATAGCACTTTCAGCTTTATTCTTTTACAGCATGTAGTTGAAGGCTACCATAACTGTGAACAATGAATGTATTTCACTAAATTGCATATATGTGTGTATCATTAGATATGTGTCCACTGTAGCTAACATTCAATACATTGTTCTTAGTTTTACATTGAAAAGTGTTAAATATTAAGTCAAAATAACAAAATAATATTGTGGAGCCGATGCCGTTTGCTCCCCACTATAATGCGTGTGTGATCGCCCCCCTCCCCCCCCTTCCCCTTTTGTTTTTTTCTTATAATGTCAATCATTGTTCATTTACCTGTTGATTGGGAGGAGGTGTCTGGGCAGGAATAGCTAGGAATTGTGATAAGACAGCATTAACAAGGGGCTGGGGGACAAGTTTTTTTTTTTTTTTGTCTTGGGGAGAGAAGGAGGGGTGTGCTTGGTTGCACGCAAGGAGATTAATCTGGTTTAGAGGGAACCCTGCTTGTTTTATCATTTTCGGGGAGTTAGGACACCTCCTGATACCCGTGTTGAGTTTGTAAAATTATAGGCAATAAATTCAAATTGTGGTCACACCACCACAATATGTTGAAATAATGAGATAGCAACTCAAAATAGCGAGATATTAACAAAAACTTTGAGCAATTAAGTTGAAATAATGAGATAATATGTCAAAATAACAAGATAATAACTCAAGATAATGACATAATACCTTGAAATAAGGAGTTATAAAGTCAAAATAAGTGACATAGCACTTTCAGCTTTATTCTTTCACAACTTGTAGTTCAGGGCTAAGTGTGAACAGCAGTCCTACTAGATTTATTTTATCGTAATTAAAAAGTAAATCAAATCATTGCTTATTTCATTCAGATTCATATGCTGCAAGCCTTTAAAACATCCAGAGTTAAAACATGGATTAATTAGGCAGATTTGTTTGACACTCTTGAAAATTGTTTGACACTATTTAAACAATGGTGCTCAGTTATTTCCCTTCTCCCCACTCATTTCTCTCTCTCTCTCTGTTCTCCTGCCAAATTTACTTTAGACCCGATCTAATGTGACTGATCTGTCAATACACACTGCCACGCTGTCAGACACGGTTATACACTGTTCAGGAGTGTAACAGACACACACTCTGATCCACCCTATCACTGAGACCTCGATCAGGCCTATCAGCTTGCACTGAAACCTGAACAGCCACAACCACGGCTCGGATGAAAGACGAAGAAAGCAGTGGGACTTTGGGCAAAAAGGGAGTGAGTGTACAAAAGAAGATTTTCAAACATTTTAGAGATGGAGTACTGTCAAAGATAGCTGAATCAAAAGTATGTTGCATGATTCCCTCCCCATTTCACGCACCAATCCGAGACTGTACATCAAGTCTCAGAGTGGCCAAAGCAATGCGTAAAGTAATGCAATGGTTAAAATTCAGCCTTAGATAATAGAATTCACTTAAATCTCACCATTTAATGATGATCTGCCACCAATTTCCTCAATTCCACAGCATTATTGCAATCATACACTCACAAAATATAACCAACAGATGGTTGAACAATATAAATATGTACTTCAGTCCAGACTGTCTGGACATCTGATGCAAAAAATCAAGGGTGGCTGGTATAAACTACTATGAATAATATAGTAATTACAGTGAAACCAATAGCTGTGAGATTGACGAATATTACTCTGGACCCACAGACAGGAGTCTGAAGGGTTAACTCTGTTAAACTCTGCTAAAATTTATCATCGGAAGAAACCCTAATAAATCGCACTAACAGTTAGTCTCTATGATAAAAGTGTCTTTGTAGTTTCTGGTGGAAAAAATGAATGTGTGTGTGAGACTTTGTACCTGTATGAAGCCGCACATCACATACTCGTCAAACATCGGCAGGCTGGGCCGGCTCTCCCGGAATATGTGCAGAGTGTATATCGTCATGACGACAGGCTCCTCCCCTGACTCGTCCATCAGCAGAATGCTGATGCGGCTGTTGCCCAGGCCGAGCGGGTAGTTCGCCGTTCTGAGGAAAACAACAAATAAGTTTATGAGAAACTGACCGTGACTAATCTCTCTCTCTCTCTCTCACAAACACACACACACACACACACACACATTGAAGACTACTTCCTCTGTGCCAGGACAAGGAAGATTATAGTAGATTAAAAAGCAGGGTCAGGTCAAAAGACAAACTAATATCCATGTTCAAATAAAGACACAATTACTGAGTCCAGCACATGCAGCCATTATTAAAAGGAATTCAGGTAATTGACAGGAATGTTCCATTTTTTGTCAACCTTATCTTCCTCTACCACATCTTGACACGAAACATACTTATAAGGGAAGTCTAAGTGCAGTTGTCAGGGCAGTTAATAAACATTTATGCATAACACATATTTTTGTAAGTTGCTTTCATGTATCAGTGAACCAAAGGTATTTAAGCTTCAAAGGCCACGAACATATTAAAATTAAAAATTGTGCTGATATTTACATGGGAAAAGCACTTTCCTTTATGCCTGAAAAAGATCATGGGAAAGCAGACCCAGAAATTAATCTAATAAATCAGTCAAAGGGTCCTGGGACTGTGAGCAGACACATCAGAGGAGAGAAAGCGATTAGCACAGGAATGCTGGAACGCTGCTCACTCATTGTTCATTGTTCTAATGATGACTAGATTTTCCTAAATATTTTAATAAATGAGTATTTTTCCTTTCTGGAAAAATATATATATATGTTCCATGTGTAAATATTTGTGACAATAAAAATGAATAAAATATTTGTGACAATAAAAATGTGTTCAGCAAAATATAGATATCGATTATTAGATAGGTATTTTTTAAGGGTACCAACCACATGTGACTAATTTTCAACCAGAGTGACTAATTTGTGAGCTAATCTTGCCTCTGCATTTACATACTATTATGTTCCACCATGTTAGGCCTAGGCATAACATGTAAATGTTACTATCAAATCTGTAGCTCTTTAAAGAATAGAATATGTACGTGATAAAACATGACAGGGTGTGCTGTTACAGGGAAACAATCAACGACAGGGTGATGTGATTCAGTATGACGGAGATTATTTTCCTATAACAACACATATACTATAATGATACATCATACTTTTCATTCGTTTGTTGTTTTTTTTTAATTCATAATGGCCATGAAAAAGCTCCTGTTATCACTTACATTATAACAACCTCTTTTTTCTCTCTCTTGAATAAAACAAAAAAAATGTAGCTTGTAATGTTAGAAATAACTTAAAATTCCCGAAGATTTTCCTGTGTCAGAAAAATGTAAGTAACCGAAAACTTCAGCATATAACAATTATACATTTTTTAGTCCATTATTTAACCCACAAGTCCCTGTGTAATTTGTTACTATAAAAACGATAATGCATTAGACCAATCAGAAATGAGCTGCTTAACAGCACTGTTTTATAAATACATACATACATATAATATATAAAATGTATTCAGGTTACGGGCTTATAACAAGGCATCAACAAGTTTTTTACATGTCTTTCGGTCCAAAGGCTCTGTATGAAAGGAATGAAACAGCTGGCTGTTTGTGTGTATATGGGAAGCACAGGTAAATAAAATGTTAGGATTCAGTCATACCTGGGGCCGCGATGTTCATCCAGGTGAACGTGGCACTTTGCGCTCACAGGCTCCGGCCTGATCCGGATAGTGACCACGTCAAACGGTACCTCAGCTCGGTACTCCTTCACCCAGGGGTTAAAGAGCGGAGTTAGAACCAGAGGAGGATCGGTATATAGCTGACGGAGATGGGGCTGCACACACCTCCCTATGGAGCACAACGATCAGTTACATGAAACAGTAACCAACATAAATGTTATTACAGCAATATGAACAGTAATTACCTGATTCTGGTGGCTGTGAATCCCACTTCTCAGGCCTGTCTGGGTCATCACTGCTGTCAGAAAAATCTATTAACTTTCCATATTATTCTCATAAAACTGACCATAAAAGCACAACCAAATATTCCAGTTATAATAAATTTAGTGGTTTTATTGCATCCATCACATTTTACTATTAAACACACACACACAGACACTAAAGTGGCCTTTCTTTGTGTTCAAATTTGTTGGGCTGAAAAGGCCCAGATGTGATTGTAACCCATTCAGGATTTGTTTCACAGTTTTGTAAAGCTCCTCAGGGATGCTGCATTGTTGTGTAATGGTGTTGTGCTCCGTCCAGCCCAAATTCATCCCGCCACTTAACATAAATGGGAAAATCTCTCCTTCAGTCACTCTTAACAACATGCCCTATGGGAGCAGAAGCAGAGCCAGTTCTGTAATCGCTTTGGTCCGGTCTGGCAGTATGGAGCTTTTCCTGTCTGTTACGAATCTGAGAGCAGCACTTAGCGGTTTAATGTACCAAACTCCGTCTATTCTTTCTCTCAAACTAACATATGGGGCTCACTGTAGAATCAGCTTCAAACAGCATGTGCACACGAGAACGGTTTATATGTACATGGCAACAGGAGTGGAACCTTTCAGAATTTTTTTTCATTCACTCTATGTCTGGTGGAAAATAAGACAAATGAAAGGGTGTGCTGGAACACCAGTGTTGAACTCAATAATTATTTACATATTTGATTATTGTGTGGTCAAAAGTGTCGTTCTTCACATACTGTATATTCAACAGTGCTGTTGAGCTGTCAAATCTGACTAGTCAGAAAGTTTTGATTAATTTTCTATAACAGCAGCTCAGACAACAGTGCCAGCTGCAAGGCGGACATTATATTAATGTGCTTCTTATAATATGGCCTCGTTTCTATAGTAACAACTTACACAGAAACAGGTACAGTATGGTTTGTGCTTAAAATAATCTAAGGCTAATAATAAACGGGTTAAGAAACATGTTGATGTTTAATAAAGAAAAACATATATTTGTTTTAAAAAAAATCATTAAAAGT